CTCGGATAAGCGGAAGAAATTGGATGGATGGATGGACAACAAACTCATTTTAAAGACAAGCAGAAAGGCAAAACAAGATCAATTCAGCCTTTCCCCACAAGTCTAATAGTTGTGTTGCCCTTTCTCTTTGCTTCCATCGAGCTGCTGCTCAGCTCAGACACAGAAGTTGCATTAAAATGCAATGATAATTGAAGAATCTCCCAGGTGACTGGCACTGCAGAGGAAGCACTCTGAATGTTATCCAAGCCCACATCCTGTTGTGATAATGTTTCAGACCTTGGCAGGGACAACACAACACATACGGGGGAGAAGAGGGCAGAGGAGGTGAAGAACCTAAACAACAAACCTGAGCTTCTAAACATGATTTAAAAATAATAGCTATTTATTTAATTATATTCTGATATTTAAGGTTGATCAATGTCATCTGTCTTGTGTGTCCCTCGTGTCTGATTATGTGTCTCTGGAAATCTATAGCCAATATTATCCTGTACAGTTCTGTCTGCCTTCTTTTTTTTCTCTTCCTTGTATTCAACAGAAAATAATTCCCCTTCTTGGGGACAAAGAACAAAATTCTCTTTGTAATGTGGTCAACATTAAATCTCCCAATGGAAAGCTGTTTGGAGCAGAAAGCTTTCACCATCCTTCCACCAAGAGATTTTATTGTCATGGATTTTCTTGCCTTTGAATTGCACAGTGATAGTTATAGGAGTTTCATTTCTGTATTTTATCTAATCAATGAAAAGAAAAGCAAAAGGATAGGAAAGTAAGGATGCTAAACATAGCAGTATTTTTAGTACAAACAAGTGATTTTGTAGTATGCACGCATGAATGAATAGACGGGTAAATGAAAAACAATACATTTAGCAGACTGTTGAATCAAATATGTAACTGCAACTGTAGCTATGTCTATAGTGTAAGCTGAGACTTTAGCTCTACCACTGCCTTTTATACAGTTCACAAAGGAGCACTGTAGGCAAACCCTCCAGCTAATGATGTCAGATTTGAGTAGCATGACCCCTAATGATTCACTAATGCAGTCTGCACCAAGTATATCATTACTAGAGTAGCTCTCACTTGTTGTGTAAAATTGTACAGTACAGAATGTTCTTTGATTATAATCAGACGTATCAGTTGGAAACTACAGTGAACTGAGTAGTAGTGAGACTAAGGCGGATCATTTCATATACGTATTGTGGGGTGAGATTATTATTATTATTATTATTATTGGGTTAGGCCTTTTGGAATTATTTAACACATATTCATTAATCATTCGAAAAGGATTTAAGCAACAAAAAATTGGGTAAAGAACTATTGAGATCATTTCTGTTTGTCTTACTCTGCCCTCTACTTTACTCATGTGTGTCATTTAATTCATAATTTATCATTCAATCGTTATGTACTGTATGTACAAATGATGAATGGGTTTGTATTTAAAAAGCTTATTCAACAAAAATTCTTTAAAATAACCCAAACCCTTTCAAATATAAATATGATAAAATATGATTAAAAAGAACCTTGACACAACACTGAATGTTTAACACAATGTGCAGTTGGTAACTGTACACTACAAGAGACCATTTCTGCTTCTGCACAAGATCCATCACAAACTCTGCTTACACACACACACACACACACACACACACACACACACACACACACACACACACACACTTTTTCATTAACAACACGGTCACATTTAGTCCCAAGTGTTCCCAAGGTTTTGGCTGTGAGATATGCAAATACAACATCTCTGTGTGAAAGTATTCAAATGTTATCTTGTACGCCGTTAGAGTGAAAGTCCAAAGCTCTTGGTTTTCAATTCAAAATTCTATCTGCAAAATAATGGAAAAGAGATTAGCTGTTGATGTTGATAGCAGTAATGATAGTGGATGTAATTGAAAACGGAGTATTCCTCACAGCATCACATCACTCCTCTGTGCTCTCACTGGACTGGACCCAGGGGAACGGACAAATGGGAAATATGGGAAACAACTGCTTCATGTGAGAGCAAATCAGATTGTCATCTCTGTCCATTTCACTCTGTCTACCATCCCCAGTCTCCAGCCCAGTACAGAGCTACCAGCCCTCCACCCCAGCCTCCACATGAAGCATGCACAGACAGAGTTACAGCAACTCCTACTGGCAGCTTCACATAAATGCAGTAGCGTAAACAAATTTCCTTTGCAATGATAAGGTGATGGATTCATGGGAAAGATTGCAAACTAAATGATTAATGTCCTTTAATGTTTACCCTTACATTGTTTCTCTTTTTTTCTTTTTCTTGTTGTTCATGCACAATAGTTGACTCCCTCCATCTCTCAGATAAGTTCCTGCAAAGTTTGACAAGGACAAAAACAGACATGTCATGCAGTTGGTAGAGGCATTGTGCAATTTAAATCAAACACAAAAAATGTAAACAAAATTAAGAATGATTGTTATTTAAAATATGAAGTGTAAACCAGCTGTTTACATTGGTACGGAAGCCCTAAGTGGACAAACATTCATAACAACATTCGATAACGACACTGATTTTCTCATGATAATGACTTAAATTTCTCGAGATCTAGTGAAACAACTTAAATTATGTCGTTATCACAGGAAAACAAGCATTATTATCCCGAGAAAAATAAGATAAATATGTCCTCTAAGGGCATGTTTGATCTATCCATCTATTTAAACAGGTACTTTTGAACAAACAGAAAACATCTGAACATATATGGTTTATATAATTCAATAAATGGAAACAGGATCAGTGGTATTGGTTACTTCCATCTGTTTTTTTCCGCTGTATTAATTTGCACTTAGACTGAATCATCTTTCCCCCCCCATGTAATCGGTTCTAGATTAGCATTATGCAAGAACCCCTTATTCCTGTAAATACAAATGTTGTGCATCAATCTGTGTTCTCCAGTGAAGCACTTTTCAAGATCAATTAGCATCACCTATGCAGGCTTGGTGGAGTGCTGTTCTCCTTCAATTAAAGACAGAGCTGCAGTCACAATCTCACATGAAGCCACTGATATGATCATGAACAGGAATCCTTAACCTCAGGAAGTTCAAGTAAATATCAACAAGCATAAAAGAGAAAAAGTCGCTTTATCACTAAAAACAATGTGCATAAACAAAAAGTACTCTGTAAGTGTATCTTCTATTTACATTGATGCCACTCTTTCTCATTTAATGCCAACTAAAGCGAGGAAGCAAAACAGATAGACATAGTTGCTGAGGTAATAATATTACCAGAAGGATGTTCTAATTTCCTCTAGAAGATAATCAGTTCTGTGAGAATTATTGATTCCCACAATGTTCTTTGTGCTCTTAATAGGCATCTCATTAACTTTTCTACAGTGTCCTTCACCTCCGCACCTCATTTTACTTTAAAATCCTCTGATTCCATCACTGCCCTTGCCCCCCCCCACTCCCCCCACATCCTGCACCTCCTTGGGCATCTGGCAGGAAATTGGATTGGAGAAGCATGTGCTGTAATACAAGATGAGGCCTACACACCAGAGTCTTATGATACTTTATTTCAAATGTGTGTGGGGAAAAGAATGAAAGAAAATCCATTTATGATTCATAGACATAATGCAGTTCATGTATTAAAATGAAATTGTCACAAGCTGTCCTTCATAGGTTAATATAAAAGAGGGAGAGAGAGAGAGACAGAGACCTACCCTTGACACACACTGTCATAGTTTGCATATATGGCATCAGGCTGCTGCAGCTATCTTTACAGGGAAGGACAGGGAATCCGTTTGAGGATAAAAAGAAATAAAGAAGAGACAGACACAGAGTGATAACTGTAGCCTAACCAAGCATGTTCTTTAACACATTTGCCATTTAATACAGTCATCCACTGAAGTTAATGGGTTACTGGGGCTTTTTAGATATCCCATGCCTTAATGATAGCTGTGAGATCAGACTAGAACTTTGAATCATCAGGAAGAGAAGAACTCATGCTCAAATATAGGGCGTCTGAATATTCAGCAAACAACAACAGGGTGCTGGCAGATTCAAATGTAGCCTATAACTCGGATGTCACAAAATATAAAGCAGGCCACATTCAAGGCTCTAAGTGGTTATGTGCAGACAAGGCTTTTATAGCCTCTACAACTGAGGACCCTATTATGTCCTCAAAGGAGGATATGCTTTCTGAAGTGTAGAACTGAACTAACACAAGGATACTATTTCATGTAACTATAAAGTATTTAGGATATACATTTTTACAACATTCAGGGCAAGTTCTTATGTAAGTGTCTAACTTATTAAATAAATGCAGGATTTAGCATTTCACCTGAGGAATGTACATTGTACTGCATAATGTGCAAGCATATTTGAGACATCAGATTACATTTTTAGTTTTTTTGGGTAAGGTCAACTTATTAGGACAGCTGTAGAGAGATGGGAAATGTTGGAGGGAGAGAGTGGGGGATGACATGCAGCCAAGGGCTGAGGTCAGATTCCAACCCATGGCCACTGTGAGGAGGACTAACAGGGCAAGGCAATGCACACCCCTTCTAGCCCACATGTACAAATAAATGAATAAATAAATAAATACCAAACTATTAAATGTTTCAGATGCATTTTTTTTTTTGCCATTTGCAGTTGGTTGGACTTAAATTGAATTAAAAAACGTATGGACAATATTTCTACTGCACTTTTATCTACAGTAATAATTTCGGTAATGCAACATACTTTGGCACTATATTTTATCCTTTTAATTGTTTGTAGCTTATCATACATTCGTATAGGCTATCTGTTACAAATGTGTTTTTTCATTTCTTTCGTGATGCATCCTCGCCTTGTGTAACGGGCAATACAAATAACAATTGTGTTGGTTAGGCTCTAAAATAACATCTCTTGCCTTGCTGTATACCTGTGAACAGTTCTCTGTGAGGCTGTCACTTTGAGCACAGTGTAGTACACCAGAAGGCCGCCAGGGGGGCAATGAGATACTATTACCACTCGGTTCCTCTCGGTTCCACTCGGTTTCCCCTCGTTTCAGAAAGTTTGCTAGAAGTGTTTGAGTGGGCGGATACCTCCCTATCCTCTTCACCCAATAAGCAGAACTTGGAAAGTGATGGAAAGTTTGTGGTGAAAGTGTCTGCTCACAACCTGGATGACAATTAGCGGAGAACTTTCGCCGGTGAGCAGCTGCGCACAGAACAGGTGACTAAACAAACCGGAAACTTGACAACAACAAAATGTTTCTGTCTATATCAATTTTTAAGTTGTTTTCATGTTTAAGGAATTAACTTTTCATAATGCTATAAGTTAAGCGATGGTTTATGTCATGTTCATGGCTTTCGTGCTCTGTACGAGATAGATAAAAGTTGTGTCTTTCGCTCTTCTGTTAAGAGTCGTCTCTTTGCTTGCTCAGGAGATTGAAGATGGAGTGGCGCCAGCAGACAAGTGTCAGCTGTGCAGACGCCTTCAACGAGGCTCAACGCTGGATTGAGGTATAGACTTCTCTTTCATCTTTTTTAAATAATTTTACAGCATCAGAAGTGTGCAGCTACTCTTCTGATTTGAATGTGCAAGCAACCATGAAGATTTAGTCCCCCTAATTAACTCCCTGTGGAGAAATGTTTCCTGTTAGCAAGGCAGTCATTTCAGCCATGAAAGATCACTTGTCCATTGTTTGTATCATTTGGACTATCCCTTGTTAGTAACAGCTGCTATAAGAGGACTTTAACTGAGGCACATTTACAGACTTATCTTGAGTTGAAATGCAAAGTGTACCTTGATAAGACTCAGGTGAGTGTTTGCCTCCGAACACAGCCTCCGAACACTTTGTGAGAATCTTTTGTGGTTTGCAGATAAAACGTGATTTGACTGCAGGCAGCTTCACAGGGGGAATGCACATGGAGGACAGGCAGATAGCCTATAATTAGGTGATGTTTTAAATTAAACACAACACCTTTGTGTTGGTTTCTTCAGTGACTGTCCCCTCATGTGTCTTGCTCTGACAAGTCAGTTCCCTGCACATATGCTGTGGTTAATGTGATCAGTGCATGGTGTAGGCAGGTTGTTCTATGCACACACTGTGGAGGATGTGGTTTTTATAGAAAATGCTGTTTCTATGTTCCTCATGTCCAAACATTGTAGAAGTTGTAATCCTTAAATCATAACCAGTGAGTTCAACTTGCACACTTTGAGAGCTGCATGTTGACCAACTCTAAATGGGACCATTAATGTCGATTGTGTCTGAGTGGATCATTATGAGAATTCTGTCCAGAGCTCTCTTGGCGGTGAGCCCGTGCCAATTTTACTCGTCTATTTTCCTGCACTGACGGATGAAAGGTTGGCTGAACACTGATGAGGTCTGTTTGTGTTGGGGTGGTAAACAATGCTGGATGCTTTTAAGGTAATGCTAAATGGTGTCATAAACTCTTTCCTGTGCCAAGCAACATAGTAAATGTGTTAGCACTAATATCCACTGTTACAGATTGCAGAATAATACGCTTCTGTTGGCCTGTATGAAAGCATCCAGAAATGGTTGCTGTTTATCATCAGCTGCAGCAATCCCATGTAAATGTTTTCTCATTGCCCGTTTCACTGGAGGAGTAATAGAAATGAATTTGCCTCTTTTACATCATGTAAACAGGCTATTTAGTTTTGGGATGCAATAGGAGCTAAACAGTCCAATTCTTTCTAAAAACAATACCATCTCCTGGGATGAGTTTGACCTCTTAAATGTGGTGTGGTTTCACTTAATTTAAAACATTGCTACAGCAATATTTATTTCCTTTATTGATGAATGTGCCAGTTCAAAATCAAAATAGTGAAAAAATACTGGCTTTGATTTTTGGTTGCCGGAGGTGAGGTCTCTATAAAGATGTTTGGGTTTGACATGTTCGGATATTGTTTTTTGTTTGATATATTTGTTTATTTAATAGGGACATATGCAATGAGCATTGTTTCATATGTAAAATACAAAGTTGATGCCATGCACATACAGGTTACTGGCGGTGGCTTATTTTCAACCCCTGTCCCTGTTCCTGTTTAGGATTTTGGGATTAAAACAGAGGCGTGAGACTTAAAGAAATACAGAAATAGTGATGCTATTCAGTCATTATAATGTTATACAAATCTAAAATAGCACCTACAAATTTGAACATGTTTATCATTTATCTCTTTCTAATCAATCTCTATACTAAAATTTTCATTCACTTATTTTTTTTATTGAAAAACACATTGACACTGTTCGATCATAGTTCAAGGTCAGATGTGAAGCCCATGTGACACATAGACGTTCCTTTTGAGAGAATATCTGTCGCCATCTAAAGGGATTTTTGCAGACACGTATGTAACTGTGTCACCTGCATACATTTGGCAGCTGACTGTTTTTCAGATGTCAGGTAAATCATTTATATATAAACTGAAAAGTAAGGGCCCTGAAATTGAACCTAGTGGAATTCCCATTCGGCAAGATTGGACAGATGACTAGGCCTATAGAATTTTATTCTTACACATTGCTCTCTGCATTCACGATAAGATCGAAACCAAGCTTTTGCTTTGTTTTTAAATTTCTTTGTGCGAGAATTTCAATGTTCACAGTATCAAAGTCCAAAAATAAGTTTACCCTTCAACAACTGCCTTCATTAGAATACTGTTTCATAGTTTTGGTAAGGCAACAGGTCGCCAACTCTGTTGAGTACGTTGGTCTAAAATAAATGTAAATAAAGATCTGGTCAGGTGCTCGAGCCTTAGGCATTTGGGTTATAATTACTGTTTTCCAGTCATGTGGGAATTAATTACTTCTGATGGATACGTTGACCACACGTGTTACTGATGTTAAAAGAGGAGAACTGTGTTGATGTTTTCGTTTTTAAACAAAAAAAGGTGTCCAAGCCAAAAAATACCCTTTTTGATTTGCCAGATTGTCTTAATTGCATGATAACTTTAACAGTCTCACTTTGATCTTCCTCTTTAATATAGAATGAGGCTGGGTGTCTTTTTTTCTATCTGTTAACTAAACAGGTTGACAAGTTGCTTCCTTTTTTTAGAATAAGGAAAAACTTTATGAAGTGTAAAAACAAAGTTGAACGCTGAACATAATATTGTAGACTTTTAGAAGCCAGAAACAGCAAATGTTTGTGGCATCTGTGCTTTAAAAAAATGGTTAAAGAGAGTTTTCTATTATCGAAGTAGCTGAAAAAGGGTTGATTGAGTTATGATTGATTGCATCACCTGTAAGTTTCATTAAAAAAAATGTAAGCTACATTGTAGATATGAATGGCCTATAATATAGGCATCATTATACTTCCAGTATCTGATTCTTTCAGCTTTGATAAACTCTCATAACATATTAAGCTTGCTGGAGAAGTTATACCCATAGACACTTGGTAGAAATCCATTGAGTCTGTGGCTTCAGAGGAAGCGGTCGTTTATTGAAATGACCAATTAAAGTTTTGTTTCTGTAAAACAGACAATATCCTGACCACATGATTGTGTTTTATTGTGCTAACCTGGCAGTGCATTGTTTGTCTGATTCCACTGAGAATCATTTGCTCCATGCCCGCTGCCCAGCTCTACCAAGAACGTATTGTGATGGTGGATTCCTGGGAGGACTAATTAGTGAGAAGAATAGCCTTTTGGGGCCCTCTGTTCGTTGTGGAGCCGAACCTTAATGGCCCCATTTTTATGGCCTCGTTACACAGCCTGCTTGCCTTGTGCTTGCCTCTGTCATGTTAATTCATTTAGGTGTTGTATTCTTTGATTTGACCAAAAACATATTTTCAATTGTTTAGTGGGAATGTTTGCCAACATACTGTATACTCTTTAAAGGCCCATTATTTTGCTTGATGGATATTTTGTGTTTATTTTTTACAGAGATCATTTAAACCTTGTCTTTATGAAGTTTTGGGGCATTTTTTAAGGAGTGTGAGATAAATCCTAAAAGTGACCAGCGCATTTACAGCTCAGAATACAGAATTTTGTCACTGATTAAAACCAGATTCCCCCCATACTGACAATTGGGGAAGTAACCTAGTTTTGGTCATTAATCAGCAGGACTGATGCCATGATTAAGTTTTTATGTGAGATGTTCACAGCTCCAGCTCAGAAAAAAATCAAACGTCTGTTCTTTCCAAGTTTGACCACAACAGAGAGGCGGTGAAGAAGCAGCCGATGACAGTGAATGTCATAGCACTGAGGCTAACATTAGCTAGCATGGTGCTCTTGACAGAAAACTGAAGTACAATCTCAAGTAAAGTTTTTGCTAAAGAAAATAAAATTCAAATGGCCTACCAAAAAATTCTAACAGTGTATTCTTTTTTAGGAAGTGACTGGAAAATCGTTTGGTAGCAACAACTTCCGTGCTGCCTTAGAGAATGGAGTCCTGCTTTGCGAGTGAGTATTGATGCTCAAACTTGAATGTTTGGTGTCTTTTGGGCTTCAATGGAAGATTATTGACTTCAAGCTTCATTTCCATTACAAGAGAGTATAGTAAGGCTTTTTCAACCAGGCTTTTTTTTTTTTAGCTTGATGCTTATAAAATGTGGTAAATAACAAAATCTGAGGAATCAGAATAAATAGATACCCTCACATAAGAATTTTGTATCATCATCAATGGATTGTTAAGAAGTAAAAAGCCCAGAAGTCTAGTAATGAAAGTCAACTTCAAGCTGTTTGTTTTTGGCGATCATAATTGTTCACACTCATGTTGAATTTTCTTTTTTTATATTTCCTTTTTATTTAACAAAGGTTTGCTTAAAGCCATACTCTGTTTTCATATAGTTTTTTGTTGGGGCCCTAGTTTTATCAATGTATTATGTAGATTCTCAAATATGTGTTTCATAAAGATGGATGTATCCTTTTTGTTATAGCTTGATTAACCAGTTGAAACCAGGGATCATTAAGAGGGTAAACAGGCTTTCTACTCCCATTGCTGGCCTGGTGAGTGTTTTTAAACTGCTTAATGTGTGTGAGACAGTACATGGTTTTTTTTTTTACAATAACATAAGAAAATAAAACGGCACCTAGTTACCAGGAAGCCTTGACACATTTTGTGGTTTCCTGCATAAGGCAGTGAGAGACAGAGTTGCCACAGTTTGAATGATCTTCAAACTGCCTTTCAGAGCGACAATCCAACATCTGAATATGTAAAGGTTTTTTTTTTTTTTATTGGTTATGAATGCAAATGCTGACTTTTATTCCGACTTCAGGCCGTGTTTGGATGGCGCCATCCAAGTATAATTGCCTAAACTGCCCCAAGCAAGGGCAGGTAAAGATCAATTGCAGCTTCCCATTAGAGGGCGATAGACATTCTCCAACAGAGACTAGAGTGTATTTGATGGTGGGGTGTGAGATACAGCAGAGATTCTGCATTTATGTGACAGCCTACAGGACCACACCGGTTGTTTTGCATGTTTTAGCCTATTAAATGTGAAATTAATTTACTTAACATTACTGTTGATGTTTATTAAAAGACTACATTGATTTTCTACCCTTCAAGTTGCAATTTGAATAAGTAGAGACTGAACATGCTGTTTGTAGAACCCTTAACTTCCTTTAATTTGCAATAAGTATATTGTCTTTGCATGGTATTTATAATTTCAGCTTTAAAGGTGCTTGTACACGCAACATTCAAACTGGGCCCCTCCTTCTGGGCTCATTGCCTCCAGAAACAAACACTCAATGCAGGACATAGTGTGTACGTTTACTGCTTGTACCTACACTGCAAGCTAGCACAAGCTAAACACCGGTGTCTGGCACCTGCCTGTCTGCAGGTGAAAACCAACCTGATGTTCACCCTCATTTTGGAACAAGCTTTATCCACGTAGCGTTCCTTCTCACTGTGAAAATGTTTTCTCTTCTTTGCCACTACTTACCTGTCTGCTATATTCACCAGTGTGAATCGTGTCCAATCGCTGAATTGTATCCCCTCCTCACCTACGGCTTTTATTGCTTAGAGGAAACACACCAGCCTAGAAACGTCCTGAGACAACAAAAACAAAGAAAATGTGAAAATGTTCATTACATTTAATGAATTAAACAGCTTCATGTTACAGTTTGAGTCTATAAACAGATTTTAATGGAAAATTTCAAATGAATTCTGCAGGTCATCATAAAATACCCCATTCATTTAATTTCAGTGATTCCATATCCAATGTTTGGACACAATGTTTTTTTTCATGTTCAAAGCTGTCGAATTCCTTCATTTTTCATCATACTTATAGATGATTGATAAAAATTAGTCTCAATAGAAATAGTCTCTGGTCTTATTTTGTTCTTTGTGGTTATCTTCAGGATAATGTGAGTGTCTTTCTAAAAGCCTGTGGGAAACTGGGACTGAATGTCTCTCAGTTGTTTCATCCAGGAGACCTGCAGGACCTGTCCAGTCGTGCAACAGTCAGGTGGGCTTTACTCTCATATTTCTGGGTGCTGTTACGCTGATAGTATGTGCTTAGCAAACGTAAAGCCTTTTCAACTTTCACCTGTTTTATCATCAGTTGAAAAATATATTGAAATTCACTTTTATAAAGTGAAACATTTGGTTTCGGCTGTTCTGGGACATTTAACACTAAATGTTTTATTCATGGCAATACCTGTGCTCCAAAAGGTGTTCAGTTTTGGATGACTTTCACAGCTGCTTTGCATTTATAAAGATATTAACATTGGCTGACAAGCTGCTGATTCAAATGAGTTGACTGCTGGCTCTGTATTATTCTGATAAGCAGATGATTAGTTGCGTTTTGCAAATGAAATAGCTGAAATGTCACTTTATGATTCCCTCCCACTAACAGCTCTATCTGTTTTACACAACAAATAGCATGTTGGTTTAATAATATGCTCTGTCCCTCTGTAAATTACAGTTTAAAGTGATATTAACTTCTGTTTTCCTCATGTGTTTTAGACGAGATGAAAGCAACAGAAGACTCAAAAATGTAAGTTGAGAAGAAAGATTCCTCATTTATTTTCCTCCTTAACAGTTTTAATTTTCATTCATCATTCCGAAGGCTTTAAAAACGAAATGTAAACTTTGTCCTACCCCACTTAAACCTAGTAAGTCCCCTAAACACCGGCACAAAATGTACCTCCATGTCAGACCAGGTCCAAGGATCTGTACAGGTTCCAGCCCCAGATCCAGATATTGAAAAACCCACCAGCAGCCAGAAGCAGGGTGATGATGGTCTTGGGTGTTATTTACTGATTGAGTTTGGGGTTCACTTAAAATCTGGCTTTAAACCCCAGAAAGTGTGTGTCCAAAATGTGGTCAACACTACGCCTTATACTGCATCTGTAAACTCATTGCCTCACATGCTTTGTTTATGTGTTTTCTGTGTGTTGAACATGTGAGTACTGTGACTGTGTACACGCCTGTGTGCACTGCTGGTATTTAGCATGTTCCGAAGCTGATGAGTTTATCGAGGAAGCCTCATTTGAATCACACAATAGCTGACAACTTGGACCCAGTAATGAGGCTGCTCATCAGAGCTCTCTTTCTTTGGAACGGGTGTTGCAATTTTTTTTTTTTCCATTTTACCAATTAGGGACAATTTGCATCCAATGAAATCCACCGTTTTTTTCCCCGCCTCTGGAACAAGATCCACAAATAATTAAAACCAAGTTGCTCAATAATTTAAAATAATTGACAATCCTTTGAAAGTTGTAAAGCAGAGCTGGGTGTTGTGTTGACAAACTTTATCACAACCTCAACAAAGTACACAATACCTTCACATTAACTGACACAGTCTGTATGTGGTTTTGTAAGCATGTTTGACTGTTCATATTCTACTGATTTAAGTATTCTTCATTTCACAGTGAAGGGAGTCACTTGCTTTAAAAATGTCTCCAAAGAAACAGAGACAATGTGGTCTTATTTCATCCATTGACTCTCTTGTGTTTCGTTTTTTGGAGCCCAGTACATTGAAAGCCTTTCTAGGTCAGATTGAAAAGAAATATCGACGTCTAAGATTAAGCGAAGAATTCAGTAGTTTATAAGATGTTTTCTTTTGTTATGTCAGGAAACTGTATATTTCCTTAAACTTGTAAAAAAGCATTGATTTTTTCAGTACACACAGCAATGGAATTGTTTTGAGCCCCCTCCTTTTTCAGTGTCTCTGGAAGTGAATATAGAGCGTCTTCAACCAGGCGCCTACTACATACTAATTTTAGGAATCTTTAAAATTCAGCCTCCTAAATATCAAGCATTTGAGTGATATGATTATTGTTGGCAGCATCTGATGGGGGATTTTCAGGGTTGTCTTGATAATTTTCTAAGAATAAAATAATGACATTTAATAAGATTAACCTATGACGATCTGTTGCATGCTGTGTAATTATTTCCTTGGCATCATGCAGATGTTAAGCTTTTAGAAAACAATAACAACCTCCTGTCCCTGTGCTTACACTGCCTGACTAACATAAAAGGTTTAATCTCAGGCTGAACAAATGAGGGTAAACCAGGACACATCTTGGCGTCAATGGTTTAATCAAGTTTAATAGCTAACAAAAGTGCAGTCAGTGGAAGACTCCATATAATGAATCTATGTATGATCGAGTGAAAACCCAATATTAAACTTTACTTATGTTATAGAGATTCTATACAGCTGGAATAAGGCGAGAACTCTGAGACAATTCCACTATTCAGTGAATGATTTCTATTGACCTGTAAGCTTCCTGCAGACACTGATCAAACAGAATGGGAAAACTCATACAAACGCATTTGTTACCTCTCAAAGTTCTTGTCCTTTCATCGAGGTAGCATTATGCCGTTAAATATTTGGTCAATTCCATCATCTCTTAAGACCCTGCATGGATTTTTTTTTGTATCGGCTGCTCAGTGATGACTTTCTTAAATTACAAATGGAGCAGCAGCAGAGAGGAGTCTAAATTTCTCTATCAGGGGAAAACTGCGCTTCAAGGCAAATGTGAAGTAAAAATGTCAGATGGAGGCCGACATTTCACAATCTGTTACTCTCCATCTTTACTATCAGTCGTGAGTTTAAGGATCTGTTGTGTTTTCTTTGTAGAGGTCTCTGAAAATTTCATCCCTAGACCAGCTACAATTAATTGTGGTGATGCTGGGGGACAGTTTCATGACCTGTAACACATGAAAAAGAAAAAAAAAACATTCCTTATTTGTGTTTAAGGATGATTTATAAAAAGGTTAGCCTGCTACTAGCATGGCTCTCATTACTTCACTCTGGTCAAGAAAGCATTGAATAGATTGCCATGATATTTTGAACAGAGATGACTGGATGTGACCATCATAAACATTTTTTTTTTGCCTGCTGATGTTTGAAGGTTTTTGTATTTTAATCGGGGTCATCATTTCAACATGATTTTGTAAATTCCTTGATTTTTTTCCTGCATTAGTTGAAAGGAATGTTGTCTTCCCTGCTATGGTTATCTCTGGTTTGGAGTTTCTGTTTTGTTGAGGATGAGCTTGTAGAGGTTCGGGTTATTCATGTTGTTCCATAACTATGCCTAAACAAAAATATGATTAAATGAAACAAAAAGTACACATTCCATCTGGCATATTTTACTTTGATTTCTTTTGTCAATCCCTTCCTAGGTTCTGATAACTATCTTCTGGTTGGGTCGTAAGGCTCACTTAGACGCTCTCTACAGCGGTCCCCAGCTTAACTTGAAGGCCTTTGAAGGGCTCTTGGGGTTGGCCTTGTCCAAGGTAAGCTGGGCTTCTGGTCTTTTAACACAGTTGTAGTCCTTTCTTGTTCTTACTTACAGTAACATTGCCCTCCAAATCCAGGCTCTAGATGAGGGCGGTAATGTGTTTGTGAAAGACAGCGGGTACAGAGACGGCTGGGACCAGGACAAGGAGGAGTACCCGCATAAGAGGCTAAGCTATAAGATGAATCACTGTGTGGACAGCATCGACTCTCTGGAGTCCAGAGTTCTTCGCCCAAACTGTGAAGGTACATTTCCACTCTGCATACTGTCTTCTTTAACTTAATAAGGTGTGCTTAACAAACCACCTGGAGTGTGCTTCCCTTTTCGTTGGAGTCTAAAGATTCTGCACTGCAGCTTTCAGATCACTTGGTCATCATGAGCAATCTCATCATATTGGCCAATATTGACACCTGTTGTCCTTTTCTAATTAACACAATCTTGATGCTGTGCACGTTTCGATATGTTTCTCACTTGTCCAAGCTCACCACACATTATTGTATTGATTTCATACAAAGGCATCATTTCCACTCCAAATACATTGTTTTCCTGAACTCTATCAGCTTATGTAAATCAGAAAAACTAAAAACAAAAACAAAAGCAGACATATTTTTGGCAAACATTCATTTGGTGACGACTTCAGTCAAATCTGTTATATCCAGTACTTTGTCAATCTGAATAGATTTTCTTGGATCAACATCATTCTGGAAACTGCTGATCTGCTGACTCACTCTGTCATTAGTCTGCTCTCTGGCGTGCTCGGTTTCAGAGCACGTCAGTGACAAATTGGAGTAAGTTCAACACTGTGGTGATGGAAGAGTCGTGAAATATTTGACACATTGCCCACGAGAGGCTCGTCTACTTGAACACCCAGTCGTCCACTGAAGAGCTTGCTCTGCTCTGCTCTGCTCTGTTCTGAGAGTTTTAAAGTCCATTTTTCTCTCAAGTTTTTCTCTCCTTGTTCGCTTAACTTGTTTCTTTTCTGTTGATCATTAATCACTTTTTTTTTTTTTTTGACATCTCAAGGTTGTGGAAGTGACGCAGAGGCCGAGCAGGTGTTCAAGATGGAGACCACACAGCCCTCGACCCAGCAAAACAAAGGTCATGTCCCTCCAGTGCTGCTACAGAGAAAACAAGGACAGGAAGAAAATGGAGTACTCTCCAGGTACTGCTAATGTATCTCCTTTGAACACAGCGTTCACTTGCTGCTACTAACTCACTCGTCCATAGCTGCTGAAGGACTGAGCGAATTTTGTTTGGTATGTTTATTTAACCCTTTGTTTCCTCACTCAAATTAAAAATGTTCTTCTTCTTTTTTGCACATACTTAATGCAAATGATCCCTCTCTATGCTGCTATTTGTTCACTTCTATCTTTAGTTTCTGGATATTAGAAGCACAATAGGTTTACTTAGTCAAACTAGACTGAGCAGCTGAGTGATATCTTTATAAAGTAATGATCATGATCAACAGTATCAAAGGTCTTTTTAATTGGGACCGTGGCTGCTAGGTTGTTTTTATGAATATACTTACATACTTCAATGAGTAGTCTTGAGTGAATAGTTTTTTTTTTATTGCCTGCAGCTGTACCTAAACTATTACTCATTCTGTCTGGGACATTGAAGACCCATTGGCCTCCTCTGAAAAAGTGTGTTTGTTGTGCCACTCTTTATCCAGTTGTCCTTTATTTACCATGGTAACATAACTCTGAAGACTGTGTCAGGGTCTGTTTGGCAGCAGTACTTCAACCGCCCCAACAAGCGTTCACTCCTGGTCGGTGCTTGACAAATTGCACTGTCTTTTTATTTTCATTAGTAGATGTATGTGCAGTATTTGATGAATAAGTCTGAGGTGTCTGCAAGCTTTGATCTCATTCTACTAATTCAACATGGAGCTGCCGTGTGAAGAACTTTGGATGTCAGTGCTCTGATAATGCTCATCCATACTACCCCACTACTCATCTGCTTGGAAAATGAGAAGTGCCAAGTAACCATAACCTTATTTTCATAACTCAGCAATTCCTCTTAAAACGTTTGCCTTTCAACGTTTTGAAGCAACTTTTGTGCGATCAAAAACAGTTTCTGAGACACTTTGTATAACCCTCCCAAAGGGATGTAAACAGATGTGGGTGTACCACTCTCTGCCACAGCACTGAAGATGCCCCTATCTCTCCTCCACCTCCCCTTACTGTGACTCCTGTTTGTGCCGTTGATGAAGATCTTTTCCTGTATGTCTCGTGCGAGGAAGACTCAGAGGATGATTACACCGACGCGGATCCGGTCCTAGATGACCTGTATTTACGACGAGTACAACAGACACTTCATCAGACTTCTACCAACCCGGACTTTGACCGCTTCTTACCACGATATTGGACACCTGAAGAGGAGACTCACGTGCGCACGATCTACCTCGGCTCCCAGAAAAGACCCTGGTATCATAAAATGCAAAGATTAAGGTGTGTTTGCTGCTTTTACTTATTTATGATGCAAGGCAGAGAAACATTTAAAACTCTCATAAAACAAGTACAAGGCAAAACTAATCCTGCAGGTTTCTAATTTTGAAAATTCTTAACGAGCGAACAATGTTGATGCATTATTTAACAGCAAGTCATGGTTTAGTCTAAATTATGCCTCCTATAGTTTAAATCTAATAAACCTTTTGTTTGTGATGGTACAATAACCTCTATTTGACATAATGGCAGGTGGTTTTATATCTTCTGTTGTATATTGTTTTCTTAAGAGCATTACAAAGTTAATTATAGTTTGCCAGTCAAAATGAGAAAGCTTGCGCTAGCATGAGCTAACCTCGCAAAATCACAAAACCTTAAGTTCTTTGTCCTGTTACTTGGAAGGCATTTTGTTTCCAGTGTTAATTTTGTTTTACTCACTTTCTGCATTTCCTGTTGCCTCTCTCAATGACTGCAGCCATAAAGCTTTGGGTTCTTCTGAGCAAGAGTTTGACTGTGACATCATTTCCTGGCTTGTGACGTCTGACAGAGAATGAAACATCTCAGCCGCATCTGGACAGCCTCAGAACGATGTCTTAGAAACATTCCTGTCCTGTCCTGAAGATCCAGACCTGGAGCAGATTAATGCACACACCACACACCACACACCACACACACACACCACACACCACACACACACACACACACACACACACACACTTCATGTTGTGCAGACTGTTGACGGGAGCTTGTACAGATTTCCTCTTTTTTTGCAATGATAGAGTGAACCTGTCTTTGTTGCGTTTGCAAAATTTTAATCCATCAGCAAACAAAATAATTTGATTAAGATGTGCAAATATTGCTCTCTATATCCAATATATGTTTTATGACACTACTTAAACTATATATATTTTTTAACTCTTACTCACTAATTATCTGGCAGTTACTGGCATGATGATGTGAGGACTTTTACAGCACCATGCTGAGTGACTCACTTCATGAGTTGTGTCGTACTTTAATAACCGTAACAGGATCATGGTATTTATATCACCAGTTTCCCATGTTCTCTTCTTTGTGAAAATGGTTTTGATATGTAAAAATAAAGTGTGTCACATTGGATTCAATAAAGTGACTTAAATACTGTTCAGCATTAATGCATTGATTCTGCCAAGGTCTTGTGTGTACAGCAGGTATGTGATTGATTGCATATGATGTATATCTGGTCATCATCTTCATGTGGTTTATGGATTTTGGTTACTTTTATTTATAGCAACATTGTGTTCATCAGTCTTTGTTTTTTTCTGATTGTGTAGAGCATATCAAATCCAGGTCAAACCTGAGAGATCATTTCAGGTCAACCCTGGCTGGATTTGGTAAGTCCTAAAGTTTTGGTTCGATCATCGGCGCAACATTTTCTGAGGCTGCTTTCTTGCTGCTTCATCTTCTGCTTTTGTTGAGCTCACATACAGAGGAAATTGGGCGGCAAACATAATTTGCCTTTTCATGGAGCACTTTGTGTACCTCCCACTATTCATTTCTTGGCAGAGACATGCCAGTAGAATTTATGACAAACTACAGGATTGTTTGTCAGCACAGTCCTGGTTCCTCCCATCAAGTGATGTCACAGTTTTGATTTACCATCTGCTAACGGCAGCTGTAAGTTACTTGAATGTCACATCTGACATCTCTTTTGCCCAGCGCAGTGCTATTACCTGTTAAAATTCATGGCTGCTGTGTTATCCAGACAGCAACATCTGTTGCTATTTGTACTGCTGCGTTACTTCACTTGCATGCTCCTCTCTGCTCGCACTTTGCTACCGATTCTGTTGTTTGGATGCAGAATGTGCCGTGCTGCAGCTGTAAATACTGGGACATGCCGGCCTGTCATCTAGAATGTGTCAGTTTAAAATGACATGTTTGTGTGATTGCATTTCTGCCATTTATCATTTCTGCTACTGCTCTTATTCTTGTAAAACCTTTGACTTCAGTCTTTTAAATGTCATCTTCTTTTACTCTGATCTATTATTTATCATCATTTCCTTCTTTGATTCTCTCTGTACCAGGAGCAAATCACTGACTGACATCCCAATGGTGTACCCTGTGCGGAAAGTTCCTGCTGGTCACACCATTTATGATGATGTGTACCAAGATGCCGGCATGGCACAGGAGTGGAATCACGACAACAAACACAAGTGTAGCGTGGCTGCCAAGGACAGTGAAGCTCAGTGGCAGGATGTAAGTCTTAATGTTAACAAAAGACAACAGCAACAAAACTGTTTTGAGAAAGACAAGGTCTGATTTGTAGCATTTTGTGATTATGCTTCAAAGCTCCCTGTGTTGTTTAACTGTAAAGTTTTCCCTGGTGTGGTGGAATGTAAGACGCTCAAACTATGCTTTTTTCAAAGTTGGGATTGAAAGTTAATCTTGAGCTACACATTATTTGTAATATCCCATAATATTTAGCCAATTGTCTCTTTTAATACCGTTTTAATATTCAATATTGACTTTACATTGCTTTTTTTATACAAAGTACTAGTACTTTGAGTAAAAAGTAAAAGTACTAGGTTATTAACTTGTTACAGGACCTGACAAAGTGGAAGAACCGTCGCAGGAGCTCTAAGTCTGAACCCTGCAGAAAGTCCCTGGACAGGGAGCATGTCATAAAGCAGATGGCTTATGGGGACGGCAGAATCTTTGACAGAAATGGAGCACAAGAAGGACGGCTGAAGAGGTAGCTCATACTACAAATGTAACAAAAATCATTTAACAATCTGAACAAAATCTTTTGTTGTCACCAAGAATTAAAATAAAGTTTTGTATGGATAGCCGCTGAGCTGGCTTGATAACTGTTTGGTATGCCACGGTGAACTCCTGTAATATGACACATGCCCTCCCCCCCTCATCTTTCTGCTTCCTTTTATTCCATCTCCTCTTCTTTCCTTACACGCTAATTTCCCAGAGACCAACAGTCACCACGCAGGCATATCTCTGCCCCCCGTCCTTACTCCACCTCTCCTCCATTGAAATCAGCAAGCTTTGATCTGAAGCCACGTACTCGTGCTCTGCTGGCCCGTAGCTACGCCACAGAGACACCTTACAGCCCCACGGCTCCACTTAGTCCCCATATCTCAACCCGCTCTCCGGTAAGTCTACAGTTTTGTTTCTGAGTAACCTCCATGATCTTTATTCACATCACTGGGCATATTTACTGAAGTATACTTGTGATGAAAATACCGATGTAAGTAATTACAGCAAATATTCAGGCACAGATCCTGTATAGCATCTGTAGAATAATTATTTGTTTAAGATTTGTACATAATAAAATAAAAGCCAGTTTCAACTTCTTTTAGGGGGCATCCGTTGGATCCATGCCCGCCTCTGATGGGATCATTTTGGGAGAGGAGACTCACTTTGCCTCCCTGGCTTCAGATGGAGCAGGAGTGACCACACCTTCTCCAGACTGTCCTTTCAGCTCCCAGACCCCCATCAGAGCCCAGGGCTGTCTGGATCCTTTCGAACCCACTGCTGAATCCGCCCAGTCAGAAAATGTCTTCACAAACCAAATCTCCACGCTGATCACAACTCTACAGTCGAGCAAGTCCACAGAGTCGCCCAGCAACAGGGTTACATCTTGCGTTGACCCAAAAGTTACAACTCTTCGCCCTGATGCAGTTCATCAGCCAGGTATTGATCATCTGGTGGACTTGACACATCAAAACCACAAGTCCCACGAAGACACCCAGAAGGAATCTTGTGAACCAGCTGTGCAGCAAGGCCGAGGCCAACAGTCTTCAGGCAGCTACAAGTACTTTTCCAGAGCTGGGTCGTGGTCTGGCTCAGCAAGCCTTCCTCGTGGTTACAGGAGATCTGAGGGCTCAACTCGTCTCTCATCTGCAATCACAGCCAGACCCTTTGGGAGCAAGCAGTCCAGGGTGTCCTCACTGTCCAGACTGAGTAATGTAAGTTTAGGGCTGAAGCACTGGTGCTCTTTGATTCTAGTAGAGTTAAACCAAATGGTCTCCTCACAGTTAGTCATGAGTGAATAAAACAACTCTTGTCTACGGAAGGGCTGACTGAAATTTCAGTAAACCTGTAAGCCTGCCTAAAAAGGGAATGCATTGTAAATTTGGTGAACATTACTCATGGGTAGTATGTAGTAAATGTATTGTTGCATTACTTGCAGATGTGGGGTAATACAGATTTGTCGTGGGCAGTGTCGGTGTGAACTTCTAAAATGAACTACTGAGCCCATTATCACCAAGTCCAATCAGATGGCTCAGATATGTTTTGTATGTGTTACAGGTTGCTTTCACTATGACATGCTTTCATGCAAGTATACATTGAAGAATTAGCTATTACTGTAAACATTTTGAGATAAACCTACAACACTGTGTGACGGAATATACATTAGCAACAATCTGTATGCAACAGTCCATACCCATAGTTCATTCAAACTTTGCAGCCTAGTTTGCATCCAACTTGAAATGTGACAGATTATTTTTTTTTTTCATAAATATCTCTCTCTGATAGAGATGGAGAGATAAATAGGGGATATGGAACTTGAAGTTCTGCAGAGTTTCACAATCGTTTGAGCTTTTAGAATAGGAGGAGGAACCACCTGCAGATCTTTATCGTACGGTCAAGATGGTACAGTATCTGGCTTCATGGATGTATAAGTGTGCATCTGGCTCTTTTAATTAATATATTTTTTTTGTGGGGGGGTGTCCATAGGAGTGTGTGTTATCATTGTTATCTTGGATCAACCTTCCTCATAAATAATGAAATAGCTGCTGCACCATTGTGAAGAGTGTTAACTCAATGCAAGGTTACACATTTTCATATTCACAAAGCTGTGTGACTATAGATGTTCTGTACAAGTCTTACAGTGACGTTTCAATGCTGAAATATAAATAGTGCAATCAGATGTCACTTTACTGTCACTCTGAGCATTTGTTGTTTTGTCCTTCTCTAGGTAGACAACAACCAGGGTCTGCAGTTGAAATGTGAGACAGAGGAATATCCCGCTGAATCGTCACTTAAAAGACAGACTGCAACCATCCATCTGAAGAGTCCGTTCCAGGCTGCCATCTTACTGAAGAAAGAGAAACAGGGCCAACAGAATGGTAAAGATCAGGGGGAGGAGGTAAAGGGTGTCACTCTTTCAAGCCAGACCTCCTTCCAGGCCCACGGCTATCACCATCAGCCCTCCAGCCAAAACCTGCTACTACCGCAGCCTTATTCAAACCTGCAGGCCCACCACAACAAAAACTCCACCCTTCCTACTTATGAAACTCTGGACCAATCACAGGTATAATGTATTTTCAGGACTCATGGGTGGACGTTATGCATATATTGAAGCACATGTTAAAGGTTAAAATTATCTTTGGACAGTTTGAATATTTTTAATCAAACTTTCCTTTAGGGATTATGAAACCAGAATCGTCTTTCAGTCAGGATGGTGCTGGTTGAGGACTAAATTAGCCACCGCTAGCTGAGAAAAATGTGCTGATGTTGTGCATGTTTTGCCTGTGTTTTCAGTAGTAGTAGTAGTAGTTTAAAGCTATTTCACCAGAAGCATATTTTTTTAGTTATTTATTATTTATTATATTTACTTTTTTTTTTTACATCAGAGATGATTGTTAGATTTTTTCATTATGTTTTAGTACATTTTATTGAAAGGCTTTTCTTCAAAGTATTACATTTAAACCTCTTACAAAAAAAAAACGCATAGGATGACATTTATATCAGGTTCACTGTGATGATTGGACTATTGTGTTTGTTGTGTATGTAATAACCTGGCCCCTCTATGTGTCACTATTTGTGTAGCAGGCCTCTGAAGTATTTAGTTTCTGGGACGCGTAGGACATTGGATCACAGGGTGTCAGCTTTACGTGTGTGTGTGTGTGTGTGTGTGTGTGTGTGTGTGTGTTTCAGGTGGCTCACAGTGACATGAGAGTGAGCCTTACTCTTAAACCCAACAGTAGACCAGACTTTGGTTTCCAGACTCACTGGGACTCTACTGGGGTGAGGGTCAAATTAATTCAGCCAGGTAAGACTTTTAGATTTATTTAACTGTTGTTCACTGTAGTTTCTCATTAACATCACATTTAACGTTAGGTCACCATGTTTGTTTTGAGAAATATAAAGTAATATAAGGACATTTTGATTAAAGAGACTGCATTTGTATGTGCAATGTGCTCTCAGGTTTTTTTTGTAGGGAAATGTATTCAAACATCCTGCACTTAGAAACAGATCAGTGACATTTTCAGGTTACACATATGACAGAGAAACCTTGCACAAATTTTAAACAACCAAAACGCAAACAATAATGCTAAAACACAAGAAAGCCTCTCATGTGGCTGGAGGTCGGTTAAAAAAAAAATGCTGAAGGAAAAAAGTTCCTGAATCTGCACATTGACCATGTATGTATTAAACTAAAAACTGCTCTACAAAATGTATCCATTGATTTTGAACTCCGTCATGAATATTTAATTAGATGTTAGAAGATGTCTTACTTACTCGCTGCTATGTAGATTCGGTTTACTGGCCTCATTTTCAGCTAATGACAGCAACCTTGTCCTCAATACTCCAGCTTGTTTCTCAGCTCTTGTTAAAAAAATATTTTTTGAAGCCGCTTCCTTTTTTTTGTCTTTCTGGTTTTATGCTACACTGTCATCTTTCTACATTTTCATGACACCTGTCCCCCCTCCTCCTCAGGCAGTCCGGCGGAGCTGTGCCAGCTGTGTGTGAACGATGAGATCGTGGCTGTTAATGGCATTGCAGTGGCACACATGAACTACACCCACTGGAAGGATAAAATGACGTCTTCCCTGCAGACCGGCAGTCTGACTATGGACATACGGCGCTATGGCAACAAAGGTAAGATAATGAGGAAAAGAGAAGATTTTTTTTTTGTAACGTTGTGAAATTATTTGCTATAATTGAACCTCTAACTTTTTACCTGCGGGCACAAATATTGGTTCACAGTGTGGCCTCAGTTCATGAGTGGTTATTTTCATTAGACTGGAGCACCAGTGAGGAGAGTCAGCACAACCAGCCAGGCCAGAGCAGGATGACCCTCAATCTAACCGCTTCAGCTCCCGTTCTGATAGGTTACCCTGATCACCATGCCAACAGTGGTGCCTCTACAGACACCACAGTGAAAGTGTCAAAATCCAATTGGCAGAGCGACAATGTGAGCAAACGTTTAAGCCACTTATTATCCTCAGTTCAAAAATAGAAGCAAATAGCTCTTCTCCTGCAGCATCATGATAAGTGGTGCTCATCAGGTGAATCTTGGTGTTCTTTCACCTGCCCAGGTTATGCAGGGTAAAGGCATGAACGGAGAGCTTGCTGACAACAACAGGACAGCCAGAACTAAAGGTAATAACAGGCATGAAGTCTGTAACGGCAACAATCGAGATAAACACCTGTAACTCTTCACATGAAGTTTGTTCTGATGTACTTCCTCACCCTATCCGACCTTCCTCTTCATTTAGATAATAATAATGCTATAAAGAAAAATCAGAGACGCAGGGCTGAATTTTTCAGACAGAAAGGTAAAATTCCTGTTTAAGCTTGAACCTTTTATGTACAGCAGCTTTGGGGGCTGGGGCTTGGCTTGGTTTAGCTGCTAAATAAAAGCATTCAAAAGATTGATGTAAGTAAAGGACTTACGTAAGCATTTTAATCAAAGAAGGGGACCTGGAAAAAAATGAACTAAATATATAATCTGTTCTTGTTGAAGCATTCCACAAATGACTGTTCAATATATATCTTATTCTTAATTTAAGATTAACTGAGGCAATACAACATTGCAGGTCTTTGGTGAACACAGATCTGACAGCAATCATTGTGTTTACAACATACAGTGTGCATCAAATTCTCCTTTTACTGAAGTATTAGATGTTCTATGTGTTAATGGGATGTGGCTGGATTGTGATGCTGCTGTCCTTTGCAGTTGTTAATAAATCTGATGCATGTCCTACTTCAATGGCTTCTCTCTTCAGGCTCTGCAGGATTCAGCTCATGGGTTTACTTGTGTGGTAAAAGTTTGCACTGTGTGGTGTTTTCTTATTTTGGCTGTACTTTGGGATGCATGCTGTTGTCTAAAATATATATATATTTTTTTTTTGTGTGGAGCATTTTCACCAAAAAGACGAAGCAGATTTGCTGTGATGCAGTTTGTGAAACCGTTTTACACCCACTTTAAAATTCCAAGCTTAAGCCTTTGCTAAACCATGTCTTTTCAAGTGTGTATATGTAGTATTGTGAAGCTGGGGATACATTAGACATATTTGCTGATTTACATAGAGATCTGCTGATTCTGATATCAGGACTAAAGATTAAATCCTAAATACTCTCATCGACTCAGCTATGTGGGCCACCTTACATTTTATAGTTGTGATCAAAGACTAATTATAAAGATACATTATTCTTGTTCAGTCAAGGGTTATGACCAGATATTGCTGCAGGCCTGAAACTGAGATAACTTTGTATTGTTATTTTGCTTATTTGCCTCTGCCCAAAAATAATGTTTTTTGTTTATTTCTAAGAATTATTTTTGGGCTTCTTTCTGCCTTATTTTAAAGGACAGGATAGTGGATAGAGTAGGAAATCAGGTGGAGAGAGTAAGAAACGGTCATGCAGAAGAGTGGCTGAAAATTGGAGTCCAATCCTGGCATCCCCGCTTTGATGGCTACAGCCTCTTTAAAAATAAAAGGCCATATTTTGGCCTATAGTTAACATTGTTAAAACTTTATTTTTGTTGCAGGGTACACTGTTTACTTGCTGTAAGTCTTGTTTTCTATAACACAAGCGTGTAATGTAAACTGTATTAGCGGTACAGTTAATTTGTTGGCTAATGCCTGAGCAAACTTTGTTGTCAGATGCTGCAAAAGATCTGTCAGGCGTCAGAAATCAAAGTAAAATATGCACTGTTTGATCACTGCTTGTGTGAAAAGGTGCATACATACTGTATGTTTATATAGACACAAAATGCATGATGCATAAGTCATCCATTGTTTGAGCCAAAGCATTTCCATAATGCTTTATATTCTCGGTCTAATGTATCTCCAGCCGTTTTGTGATGAATGTGTAACCTTTAGACACAACTTCAATCTATTTTAGGAGATCGCCCGACGTATGTTTTCCAGTACTGACCTCCTCTTTTCTTCCTCAGGAGGTTCAGAATCTGCAATATCTGATGTAAGTTACCACCATCATTATTACTTAATCAAAGCGTGTTGAAACATAAGTTATCTGTGTGTGTCTTTATAGAGTTTGTGTACTGTGCTGTGATCTTGTTAGAATCTTTTTATCTATTTTTTTTTTGCATCACCAGCTCCAGGTGCCATCGCTCAGCCCCTCCTCGTCCAGCTGGTCATGGGACCATGAAGAAGATCGAAGGCGTCAGGAGAAGTGGCAGGAAGAACAGGAGCGCCTCCTACAGGTGAACAATCTTTTCACCAGCACAGAATTGCAAAAAAAGATAAGGACCTGAACATTATTTTTAATTTGAATCATCATCTAACATTTAAAGATGTGTGTGTTTTTTTTTTTTTTTTTAAGGAGCAGTACCGGCGGGATCAGGAGAGGCTGGAGGCTGAGTGGCAGAAAGCACAACAAGATGCAGTGGGAGAGGTTTGCATGCAGATAGTTTCTGATGTCTTCATTTTTATGAATGGGTTAATGAAGCTTCTCCTGTATGGTCATTGCTTGTCTTGTATTTTATAATATGAAATAGTTTTTCCAGAGTATAAACGTTGTCTTACGGATATGCTAAGATTTCATGTTTTCCCAACATTGTGATGATGTCAGACTGGTTTAAGTCTGACTTTGTTTTTTGACAGTAATAAGATCAACAGACTACCTTTTTACTTTTACAGATAAATATAATGTTCGTTTTCTGGTCTTTCCTTTCCTCTCATGCAGTTTTGATATCCATATGACCCCAAATGAAAGTCCTGTCATATGATACATTGAAGTGCTTCCCATTGTTTCTACAAAACTTAATTTATTTCCTTTTTTGTGTATATGTAGAAGAGCACCTTTGCTGGTGGGATGACCAACGATAGTGAGAGCTTTTCCAGCACCCCGTTTCATGTGAACGGACTGACAAACAAAACCAGAGACGAGGAGCACAGCCCTGAGAAACATGACCTGAAAGAAGCAGGATCAAAGACTCAAAGTGATACACAAGGAGTGCAGAGGGACAGGATCAATGGACAAGCCTGGTAAATAAACTTTTCCTCCACTTGTTTTAAGTCAACATCAGCTCTTCTCCATCACTCCATCTGAGTGTAACAGTGTTTGTGTGTGGTGCATTTATTGCTTACATTTAAAAGCAACCTTTTTAAGCATTGATTTTTTTTTTTTTTTTTTTTTTTTACTTGTCTTGATCTTTTCTTCACTGCTGCTGGTGCTGAACTTGATGCGCTTCTTGCTGCTTTGTTCGTGTCATGCTGGTCATGCTGGTCATGCTGTTCATGCTGTTCATGCTGCACCTCAGGGCTGAGGACTTGTGTGGCTTTGCACAGCTGTCGCCTGCACACAGGTCAGAACACAACAAGCTCAAGTTTCCTTCTCAGTGTGACTCAGTCCTACAGTAGTTATCGTGTAAAAGTTATTTATATGCAGTATAGCTCTGGGCATAAAGGTCCAAGTTTAGTGTGTTTGTCTGCAAAGCTAAGCTACCAAAATATCGTTTGAATACTATCATTTAAAAATGATTTTAACCATGTGAAAGTGTCACCCACTTTGTAGCCAACATCGGCATGCAGCCTTGTCTGGTGCAGATCCTGAAATCCAAAGTATTCTCATTTTTGTGTGAAATAATTGGGAGCTTTTTTTGTAGGGCAAAGTCCTTGTCTACCCCGTATTAGCTGGCACTCACAAACAGCCCGGAGGTAAGTTTGGTCAACCCCTCGCTGTAATGAAACTCTTCCCTTTTCTGGCGATGCAGTGTACTAGGCTAACCTCCCTTGCTTTGGTTGGTCCAGGTGAACAGAGGAAAAGCATGGGACACTCTGTTTCTAAAGGTGAGAAAGAGAGACAGCAGATTTTGGAGGAGATGAAGAAGAGGAATCATCTTCTGACTGACAACAGCTGGATACGTCAGCGCAGCAGCAGCTTTTACAAGGAACCAGTCTATTTGGGTGTTCCTCTCAAGAGGTGGGTGCACCTGTACTATGTCCTCTTGGTGATGATGTTTTCTCCCTGTCTTTTTATTTTTCTTAAAAGAGTTAAAATGCAAAGCAAATGTGTTGTCTTCTCTGCAGATATGAGTCTCTGGACAACCTGGATACTTTCCGCCAGCCACCAATCTCTAGCACTACATTCAGTTACCCTCGTCCACACTCGGCTGCCTCGGGTTATGGTGCTCCCAGTAGGAACTCATCCTCCCGCTACAGCACTGGAGGTATACCATACCAGAGAAGCACAACGATTGAATCTGCTCATCAAGGAAGGTTGGTGATGATGCAACTATAAAGCCTGTTTCTCTTGTGCATGAGTGTTATTTTCTCTGTTTGATCATACATTCTGGCCTCACACTGTTGACGTGTGCTGCCTCAGGATCAGTGGCAGGAGGACTTGCAGTGTGTGTGAACGTCTCCTGGGTAGTGGGGCAGCCATGGTCATAGAGACCTTAAGTCTCTGCTTCCACCTTGCCTGTTTCCAGGTGAGAGGTCACTTCAGGTAAAGGTGCGGTCACAGTAGCTCCAAGCCCTACGAGTAACTGCTCTGTTCATCATTCCCATCTAAAGAGGGGCCTCCTATTTGGTGCACACTCTTCAGTTTTACATGTCAGACTTGGATAAGGCCGTATGTAGGCGGGTATTTTTTGAAACAGATGTTTTTGTCCTCTGTTTCAAAAAGTTCTCAAAAACATCTTCGCCCACATGAAAAGACAAAATGCAATGTTATGGCTGGCATGAGCATGCCATGTCAAAATCAATGTCCTTGATATGCTAATATTTTCTCACCATTCCTCTGCAATGACCATTTCATTTACAAAGTTGTCCATTCAAGCGCCTCTGGGGGACATTTAAATAGGGCTGAAGACTATTGTGACTGTACCTTTAAGTAAGGTCACAGAGTCTCACACCTGTAGTTAAATTAATCACAATCACATGTGCTCATAGGAATCTGCTTATAGGTTAACTTCTGCCACCTTTCCATGCCTCTATCTTTCCTACCTGTCTCTCTCCTCATGTGTATTTGGCTCCTGGCCTGGTGGACAGAAATTCTTGTTTGGTTGTTCGAGTGCTGTTTATCTTTCTGTTCACTGCATGTGATTGGTTAAGAGCAACACGCCCACCAGTTTGTCCCGCTTCACTTTTCAGATGCTCACTGTGAATATGTCACTGGCTGAGGATCCCCTGATTTAATTGACTTGGCTTCATTAGCATGTAGATGTAACAGTCGCTTCTTCAACCCTCCGCTCTGTATGTGTTGCATGCGCACAAAGCACTCATCAAATATTTATAGATTGTAAGTGTTGTTAATGCAAAAACAACGCTCATTTCAGTGCTTTGGTTTCACATATTCTGCTGAGGTGATTTAGACACAAAGGCCCACGCTGCAGGTCAGCTTTGTCTTGAACAATCCTCAAATGTTTTCTCAACTCTCCCTCCTCTCAGTGCGTGGGCTGCCAGCGACACCTCGGAGGAACCGAGACTGGAGTCCAGGTTCGAGTCCGAAACAGGAAGCCCTTCTGTGAGCCCTGCTATTTTCAACTCAAGTGTGAGTATTGTGGGACAATCAGTTAAACTTATTTTCTCAGACGGCATATCAAACGTCATAGTTTTAATTATTTATTTATGGTTTATTGGATAGGGACACATACAATATACATGAACAAACTGAACTCAGCCCATCCAATGCAGGTATCATAGTATTTTTAGCGGATGCTAATTTGCAACACCTGTCCCTGTCTCTAACCTTCTCAGATTGTCGATTGTCGTTTGACTAAAACAGACTGAATTTGGATTGGGCTGTACTAATGCCCATGATATTTAACTTTGAATAGCAAATCAAATTCTATTATTGATGATCTTTTATTCAACTTTTAGCCCCTTGTGCCCCCTCCATGTGAGCAACTCACCTCCCTCAGGATTACTGAGTAGCACCAGAATCAGGGTGAATTTCAGCCAGAAAAAACTGCAAGAACACGGAGTGATATCATCCACACAGCCAAGGCACGATTTTTATGTCCTACAATAACAAGTTGTGAACTCTATGATGTGGTATAAAATGTTGTCGTGTGGATCCACGGGTTAATAATACTCTTGACTTCTGTTCTTTTAAATATAGTTAATATAGTACTTAGTGTGTCTGTCCTTTCTTCTGCTAATGTGTTTTCAGTCAAATTTAATATATGAAATAAAGTAATGAAATGATTAGTGTTTGATAAATAATGTTATTTTTCCGTTATAATTAGTTTGATATTTTCCTAATAGCCTTTTACAGATATCAGATAATCGGCATTAATGTAACACCTGTTTGGAGGCACCTTTTTAACCTTCTGTACTGAAGCACTTTCTTCTTTGTTCTAATCTCACTAAGTGCACTCTGGGATTAATAAGTGGTCTGTCAAACACATGTATCTCTAACATTAAAAATGACCTTTAATACAATGTTAATTGAATAAAGTACACAGAGTTTTATCCAAAGGGGTTGTTTCATTTGTTTACCACATGGTGGCATCATTTGTCTCTGAATTCAAAGTCATTAAAATAAGGATATTTTGGACCTACATCTGAGTCACATTGTTCAAGATCACACAACTTTTTCAAATGTTTATGCTGTGTGTTTCAACAGAACTGAAGTACAGGTACTCTGCAGCATTTATGAATGTGATTATTTCAGATGAATGTTTTTTATGCATTTTGCCTTTATTTTGATAGGATAGTAGATAGAGTAGGAAACAGGGAGAGAGTGGGGAATGACATGTCAGACTTGAACCCAGGCCGCCCGCTTGGAGGACTATAGCCTCCGTACATGAGGTGCGCCCAAACAGTTAGGCCATCAGCAACCCCATTTATATGATTATTATTATTATAAGTATGAATTAACCTTAAATTAAAATTAAAATAATGCAACATTTACAGTATCTGAAATAAAGAATGTGTGCTGTGAGTACTTTCCCTCTTGTAAACTCTTGAAAATAAAATACTTGAAAACTTGTGAATATTTTCAAAGGTTTTAAGGAGTATCTAATTTCTCTTCTTTATCTGACTCTACTGTAGACCTGTTTGTTGGACCGTATGTCTGGTTAAACAAAGAGCGTTTTATCATGAAATACTCCCATCGACTATCGTTGTGTTGTGAGTCTGTTTCTTGTGAACGTTGTCCAGATCTGACCACTTTAGAGTCTAACTCTGATATCGGTTACTCATGGAAGATTTACCTGCTTTTATAAACTTCTCCATCAGTTCACTACACTTCATAATAATTTTGCTCATCACGTTTAAAGGATTTTGTTTCATTTTATTCCGATTTTAAACCACTGAAGCACTTCAGGTCTTTTTTTCCTCCTGCATTTATAGACACTACACCAGTTACCACGAAAAAAGCTTGTTAGTAGGCTGTTTTTTCTCATGAGGAAAATTATCCTTTAACACTTTGCTGAAGCGCACAAACAAAATTCCATTCACTTCCATTCTGTTTGGGTAAGAAAGAAAAACTATTTATAAAATCTTTATAAATATACATACAAGAAGTATGTAGCATGTAAATCAATGTCACACAGCATTTATAGCCTTAGCTAGTTTGGAAAGCTAATCTAGAGATGGAGCTTTTATAAAACATAAACATGCTTAACAAATATGCAATGATGAGAAATAAATGCATTAATAAAGACCGAAAGCATGAATTGTGTCATTTGTGTGTACTACTTTTTCCAGGAAGTTGGTGAAGCAAGTTTAAAGCTGCAAAAGGGAAGAGAGAGTCACTGTTCTTACACCTTGAATGGGGAAGTGCCACGGCCTGAAATGTAGATTCAGGCTCTGACATCTGTTGTAAAAGAAGAGTCTATGCCCATGTGGTTAAAAAAAAAATATGAAAAACAGAAGTTGGTCAAGAGTTATGGCTGACCCTTTGTTTGGGGTTGGTTCCACTGTAATAATGTCCCTTGTGTGTGTTTACAATTGTAGTCGTGGTGTGGCACAAAGGCAGCATTGAAAGCAGTATCTCATCCGTAAGAGGAAGTTGTACTGCAATGCAAATCATATTTCTGACAGCTCTCACTGGGACTCTTCTGACAGTTCTCTTTTTTTTGCTCAATGATGCAGGAACATCTCGTGAGGATGGGAAGCTGCAAGAAGCATAACAAAAAAACACCCATATATAGGTCATTCATGCAGTGTCAACATGGTAGTTTAACTTTTAGAGGAATCTTTTCCATAGCTCTTGGAGCACTTCATGCGCTCCCTGTGGACCAATACAGTCAAACTAAGATGTTAAACAGTGGTCATCCAGCTCTCTTGGCCTGATGGATGGAGATGTTTTTTTCTTTCTTTCTCTGACCTGCTCTTTGGAAGGGAGGGTTCAGCTCCCAAAAGGCACGAGCTGGAGCATATTTCAGCTTCTGACATGCTCAATCTGTTGGGGATGTCTCCTGTGACTCCAGCCTGACCCATATTAAATACCACATGTCAAGTAAGCTGAAACAGCCTAGGGTCAAACAGAACAGTCAGGCTGCACATGTTGAGACATCACTTACATCAGATTAAGCTTGAGAGAGGTGAAACATTAAGATGATCAACTGAGCGGATGATGTTTACTGAGCAACATTCCTGTCAGTGATAGTTTAGCTCCCTCACTACTGATGTGACATGAAGTCCTTTTATACTTTTCTTTTTGCATCAAACGTTTTCTTTTTTGTCTTCAAATGACCGTTTAATCAACTCCAAATCACAGTCAAATTTGATTTCATTTTTCAGCATTTCTAGTTCCATAGTTATTCCTTTTAGCATACCAGAGATTTACCTCTTTAAGTGCTGTCAATGAGTGAGCATCTATTATTATATAAACACAGATAATCTGCAAGGCCTAATGGAGGCTTGCTCTCAGACAGAAGTGTCACTTTATA